GAGAAAGAAGTCACATCCCTTTACCAGCAGCCCACAACTCCCACGAGGGGGCCTTCCCCGGCCCCAGCATAGCAGGCACAGGTCTGCGAAGGCCATCCACACACTTGGAAAAGCTGTGCCCCCGGCCTCTTCAGCCTCTTGCCAGGAGGGAGGCACCATTCACACCCGTCAAACACAAACTACAACCACGGAGTCCACCGAGAGATGGATCCAGAGCCCAGGAGCAAGAAGCTGCCTTGGCAAAACCAGGCCGAAGTCTGCGCTGCAACTTTGTGGCTCGAGGGGAAAAGCACTGCTGTCCCCGACGCAGCACATTACAGCGCTGTAAAGCAGCAGCGTACGCCAGCCCCTTGCCGTGGTAAAGCACAACCCCCCGGTGCGGTGCCACGCTGCCGTGGCTGGGGGGCAGAGCGTGACTGAGTCACGTGCTGGCGGGGGAGCTCTGCTTTAACCGTCCTTTGGCTGATTCACAGCGCAAAGCGCCCTCCCCTGCCCCCGCTTTTCTCCGCTGAGGGGCCAGTGCACGGCAAGGACCTGAGCAAGGCGAGGAGGAGAGAAGTGGACTGCGGGAACCAGGGACAATCCTGAGAGCTGGGGGGGGGGCAGGGCAGACAATCACAGTCCCCAAGCAGAGTGCTTCATGGCTCCAATTCTTCCTGTTTCGGAGCCAGGGCTCCCACAGAGACCTCTCCTCGGGAGCAGGCCTTCCCCAGCCACTTGGCAAGGGCTGGCTCCTCGCTTTCTTCCTGAAAAGGCTGAGCAGCTGCTGCCAGAGCTGAAGACGCAGCTAGAAACGCACTGGGCCCTGGAGCGCAGAGCAGAGCTCCTGTTCTAACACCCTTTGTTTCCCGCAGTGCACTTTGGACTTGGTGGTTACCTCCCAGACTGTCCCTCCTTTCAACCCTCACACTGCTACTGCGTTCTGCCTCTGCGGGACTAGTTCCTCCCCACAAAGAAGCTACAGCCACAAAGTGGCAGGTCCAATGGGTAAGAACACAAGAGTCAGGAAAGGCAAAAGGGAGAAAAGCAACATGAAACTGAGAGTCCATTAAAAAAAGAGAGAGAGAGAGTCTCTCTCTCTCCTGTGCACAACCCCAGCCAACAGGTGAGACATTTGCTTCTCTAGGAAAGTCTCCTGTCCCCTGTTGTTGCGAGAGCCCCACACAGACACCAGGAAGGCAGAGCCACTGGCCAGACACACTGCTGTGGCGCACAGAAAACACATGGCAGACAGAGGAATATTTTTCCTCTTTAGTTCCTGTGCCCCTGAAGTTAGGTGCTTTTGTTTCAAGTATCTGGGGAAAATTCAACTCTCTGCATGGCGTGAGCTGGTGGCGTGCCTGGGTAGGTGCACTGGTAACTTACGTGGTCACAATCGTTCTTAAATGCACCGTGCTCTCTCAGGCGTCATTAACCGGAGGTACATGCCTACAGCACAAGAGGCCTTGCACCCCTGTAATGTCACCGGATGGCTCAACCTCATCTCTACTGGCAGGCTGTTCAGACAAGCGCTCTCCACTGTCGTTTTGTCAGCACCAAGCTACTTATTTACTTGGTAAGCCACCAGCAAAGCCACCCTTGCATGCAATTCAGGGGCTGAGGGTGCCTCGCTGTCAAGGTAAATTTGTAGCGGAGAGTCATGGAATTTCACAGAGCCGCGTGTGGGCAGGTGTATGGGCAGACTCAGCACAGCCCAAGCCACGTCTAACGGGGCCACACAGCCCCAGCACCTACCTAGCCCACAGAACTTGGGCCAGGAGTACATTGCACCTTCTGTCATACGCTGCACATAACAGCACTGTCTGCTCGGCGTCCCCAAGCAGCTGGCACGGCCTGCCTGCCTAGCACAAAGCAACGCGGTCCTTCCCATGCGCAGCGGAGCTGTACAGAGAGATGCCCATTGCACAATCGAATGGAAGCCCATAGCAATACAAATGCACATGGGGGGGAGGGCGGATAGTTATGCAACCTTCACGCTTGGCATTTCCCGACACTGCCACCGAACCGAGCAGCCGGAGCATTCTTGGACTAGAACTGCCAGAGCAAGGCTGAACAGCGTCCAAAGGTCTGAGCGAGAGCTGCACAGAACAGGCCTCTGAAGCACCACTGCCTTGCACGACACCCCACAGCTACCCTGCCCACGTTCCCTGAGGCCTCGTCGAGTCGCCCCAGACTGCAAAGAGCCTGGCCCCAGTCCTCCCGTGTCACAAAGACTGGGAAAGCCAGGCTTCCTCCTGTCCATCGTGGGCCACAGCCCTCCCCAGGCCTTCCCCTCGTATGGGTTGACGGGAGCAAGCCCAGGGCTGTGACCCTCCCCGCCGCTCCACAAGCCCAGAAGAAGGCGCGTAGCACACGCACCGCGTGCGTACCGTGGGCCACCCCTAAGACGCCCAACAGTCAAATCACACTCGGTCACCATGGGGACTCCTCTTCCCCTCCCTCCGGTTCCAACCCCGGCTGTCCTGGTTGTAGAGGTGCTCAAGAGACGGTCAGACACCTTCTACCAAGCCAAGGAAGCCCCCACACCGCCCTTCCCCCACCCTGCGTCTCCCTGCCCACAGCAAAAGCTCTTTTGCCCAGAGCGCACTAGAAAAGCTGCTTTTACACGGCCCGTCCCCACCAGTCTATTCTGGGCACTGCAGAAGGCAGGAGACCCAGGGAAATGAGCCCGGACGTGACCATATAATCAAAGGCGGCACGGTGACACTCCGCCCCGGACCCACGTCGCGTTCCACACAACCAGACCCTGGCAGTGTCGGGCCTCGCATGCCCCACGGCGTCTCTGAGCAGCACCTGCCCGCAATTCCCTCCGGTCGGCGAGCTCCGGACACCCGCTTGCGCCGCGGGAGCCAGCGCCAGTGGCAGGTGCTGTTCAGAGAGGGGAAGGCAGGAAAATGGGCTTCCATGGGCTGGTAGGGGAGCCTGGTCTTGTGGTGCCCCCAGAAAGGGAACTCGAGCGGCTGGGTCTCACTCACCCCCTCCCCACCCTGCGGCAGGGGCCCCAGGACTCCGAGCCACTGTCAGCGTGGTGCACGCTGCCGCACAGCCTCGCCGACCAGGCTGCCAGCTCTCCCGAGGGACCTGAAAGGGAAGGAGCCCGGCAATTCCAGTCCAGCGCAGCAGAACACCGAGCAGTGACGGGACATGGCCCCAGCACAGGAAAGGCCGGGAGGCTCCTCTAGGATGGCCGAGTGGAGCATCCCAAATGCAGGCCTGCCACCAAGGTCCCAGCAGCAGAGGCCTGGTCTCACCTACAACTGCTGGGTGGGGAAGCGATTCTTTCTCCAGCACGGGGCTTGACCAGGCAGAGCCCCCGTGTGCTTATTGCAGCACAGCTTCTTCCCAGGCCGGACGGCCATAAGGCCACCCCCACAATAAGCCAGGAGCCCTTGTTGGCTCAACGCTCTGCCTGCTGCCAGAGGCACCTCAGGCCTGGTTTGGAACAGGGCGGCAAGGGGGTTTGCAGGGCCACTCCAAGAGTGTGGTAAGAGGTCAAGTGGGCTGGGGTGCGGGAGGGTCTTTGGGTCCCAGAGATGGCGTGCCAGGCACAGACGCTGGCTGGGAGGCACTTACCCTAAGCAACCCCGTGGGGCCCACAGGCAGGATCCCTGCCTGCCGTGCCCCACATGTCATTCCAAGTGGCTGGTTGTGGGCCTGTGTGCGCCTCTGCGCGGCCTGCTGGAGGCGGGGTGAGGGGCTCTGCTCCCTGCCTCCACACCCAGCACAATCCTCATGGCACCTGTTGACCACAAACCGGCTAATGGGAGCTGCCTGGGCCATGCGTGTGGGCACGTGCAGCATGCAGGGACCCGCCTCGAGAGGCATGCCATGCAGAGACACACGCTGGCCCCACAGCTGGCTGCTTTGAACAGTACGGGGAACATGGCAGGCAGGAAGCCTGCCCGAGGGCCCCAGGACACTGGCAGCCCAGAGGATCACCAGGCTAGATCCAGGCTGCAGGTCATATTTGCCCACCCCTGGTTCAGGAGGAGACAAACAGCTGGAAAGAGGTGGAGGCAGAGAGCTCATGTAACGTTAACTAGCGGCAGGACGGTGTGGACTAGGGATGCAAGTGTGACGGCGCGTTGGGGTTCCCCAGTCTCCTGCAGCCCTGGAATAGCACGAACAGACTTCACCAGCCAGTAGAATACAGGTAGCTTATTGCTTCTCCACGATACAGCACAGCACAGATGTAATCTAGTTACAGGAACTGGGGGCTAAGAGGCCTCAGTGCCCCCCTTGAGATGGGGGAATCCCAGCCCCCCTCCCCAGCTCCTTCTCCCCTGCTTTCCAGCCAGGAACTAACTCCCCCTCTCCAAGCCCTGCCCCCAGCCAGGGCAGCATCCACCTCCCTTTGTTTCTCCCCATGGGGGGTTGGCTGGTTCAACGGGTATGGAGTCACCTTCGCATAATGAGGTTTTCCCTGCTGGGTCTTGCTCCAGACAGCAG